AAAAATACAAAAATTAGCCGGGCATGATGGCGAGTGCCTGAAATCCCAGCTATTCGCAGGAGGCTAAGGCGAGAGAATTGTTTGAACCCGGGAGGCGGAGGTTGTAGCGAGCCGAGATCACACCATTGCACTCTAGCCTGCGCGACAGGGCGAGACTCCATCTCTAAAACAAACAAACAAACAAAAAAAACAACAAAAGACAAAGATAGATACGCTTTGTTGTGTTAAAAGCCTCAAAGACATCTGCATCATTCTAGCTTTGCTTCTAATTTTTAAAATTAATGATTTTAATAGGTTCTTAATTAGGTAAAAACTGCATTAAAACATATTTTGCCATATTTTTCCCAGAAGGATACCTAATTGGGCGGTTTGAGGGGCGCCAGATATAACAGGGAATAAGACACGTCTTATAGATAAAGGAAGAGTTCAAAGGCATCCTGCTTGATACTAGACTCAAATATATAAATTGAGGAATAAAAGATAATCAGAAAACACATGTATAACTGCGTATGAAAAATACAGAGGAGAATTTTTTAATGAAATATATTTTTAAATATTAACTAGTACATTGGAGAGGACAGCATTCACCAGGCCAATGTCAACATACCTTTAATGCAGGAACTCAAGTTCCCCATAAGAAAGACCAGAATCTGTGAAAATGACAGCAAGCATGTTCAACCTGCTATGAGCTTTGAAAAACTCAGCACCGACAGTGGCAGTTAGGACCGAGGGCAAGACATACCCAATCACATAACCATGGCGACGGGAGCATCATCAACGTCTCAGGGTAAAGTCACAATGCGTATTGTGAGGTCCACTTTCTGCTTCACCAACAAGAGTGCTTTCACACCCACAGGAGTGTCATTAAAGATTAGGCGTTTTACTTCAAAAAAAAAAAACAAAAAAAACCCAAGCTCATTAATTATTATTCTGTGCTTATTAAAATAAGTTTTAGGAGGAGAAATTGTGTACCCCAAAATATACTCAATGGCAAGAATTTCAAACTGAGCAGGGGCAAAACCAATATGTTAGTAACAACCAGAAGTTCCATTCTCAATTTGAAATTCCATTGCCAGATATTTCTACCATTCCTGAGTCATCTAGTATTTCTAGAACCAATAAGCAAACTGTTCAGAATTAAAGACAGCATAAATGGATATTCAGTTATAAAAGTCATATTTCTGTAAAAAGTGACATTTTTTAAAGTCACATTTTTGAAAAGTTGTAGTTCCCTAAAAAGTCATATTTCTACCATTCCTGAGTGATCTACTGTTTCTAGAACCAATAAACTGTTCAGAATTAGATAAAAGATAGTGTTAGTTGATATTGTTATAAAAATCATATTTCTCTACAATATAATTATCAAACTTAATTTTTCCACTTATCTCTATATATTACTATGCAATTATTTATCTCCCAAACTTTGTGAATTCACAGAGGAATTTGTCTACGGTTGTATATGTAAATGGCTGGCCATTCACTGAGTATTTAAAGCAAAAAAATTACTATATTTTCACCAGTGCATCTTCTCGGGGGGTGAACACTTTGGGTGAATAAATATAATTTTTAAATTTGAGACAGGGTCTCTGTCACTCAGGCTGGAGTGCAGTGGCGTGATCACAGCTCACTGCAGCCTTGACCTTCCAGGCTCAGGTGATCCTCCCATCCCAGCCTACTGTGTAGCTGGGACTACAGGTTCTTAACACCACGCTCAGCTAATATTTCATAGAGACAGGGTTTTTCCATGGTGCCCAGGCTGGTCTTCAACTCTTGAACTCAAGCAATCCACCCACCTTGACCTCCCAAAGTGCTGGGATTAGAGGCGTGGGTCACCACGCCCTGCCTAACACATATAATTAAAGTGTTTCTGAATGCAGAATTTTAGATAACTTTCAAAATGTATAACTACATGTGTATTCCAGCTGATAAATCAACACCCAATCACAAATCCTTTTATGATACTCTCAAGAGAACAAGCTGTTGAAAGGAACATTACCTGCCCTAACATAAATAGAACAAATGAAAATTTTAGGGTTAAGATGAGAGAGTTGCTATGTTTCAAAGAGAATAGGTACCCTTCATGATATAAATATTATAGTACAAATATCTATCATTGTTAAGTACAAATTTCTAGAACAAATAAATAGGTCACGAATGACGTATACCATCTGCATTAATATAGATGATGCTATATTTTGTCTAGCGATTATAAAACAGAGGGTATAATGGGGGTAGGTGCTGAAAGGATAGGTCATTCTGTGTTGTTATAAACAGAAAATTTCAGTGGCTTCCAGATTGAACAAATATATGTATATACACAAATTATATATATACACACACACACACATTGATACTATAGTTATACGTGTATTTGTATACTCAGAAATGCAGCAAAACTAAAAAAAAAAAAAGCAACAAACAGATTCACATTTCTGAATGCCCAATTGGAGGAGAAAATTTAAAAAGAAGTAGGAAATACAGTGAGAAAATGTACCCATCCTATTAGAGGAACTGATATCTTAAGTTTAGAGAGGCAGGCTGAAATACTTAAATGTTTAGGATATGAAATTTAATTGTACAAGTATTTTTTTCCTTGAATTTCCCAGACCAAAACCACATCATTTGATTAGGGTGCATTTTTACAGTACCTAACAATCAAGATTTTGAAATAAAACATTGATGATGGTGAAGAATTTTGATAAATCCTGACATTGTCCTAGTTGAAAGAGGTTAATATGTTTTTATATGTGCTAAGAATTGTCTAATTTAAGAACACAATGATGTTATGACTCTGTTGATAAATTTCAAACAATAATTTTTGAAATTATATATAAAAGAATGCTTTTATTTGGCTTTTATTCCAGTTGATTTCAACCATGCTGAGTGAAATACATATATCAGAACAAAATCATGAGGATGTCACACATGTTAACTATCTAATAGCTACTGTAGGTTAGACTTTTGTTGTTGTTGTTGTTGTTTTCTTTTGAGGCGGAGTCTCACTCTGTTGCCCAGGCTGGAGTGCAGTGGCGCGATCTCGGCTCACTGCAACCTCTGTCTCCTGGGTTCATGCCATTCTCCTGTCTCAGCCTCCCAAGTAGCTGGGACTACAGGCGCCCGCCACCACGCCCGGCTAATTTTTTGTATTTTTAGTAGAGACGGAGTTTCACCGTGTCAGCCAGGGTGGTCTCAATCTCTTGACTTCGTGATCTGCCTGCCTCGGCCTCCCAAAGTGCTGGGATTATAGACGTGAGCCACCACGCCCAGCCCATTTAGCTAATATTTTAATGGTAGGATTAAATATTATAGCTTTTCATTTTTCTCCATTATGAGAATTTCTTTATTTTTGGAGGAAATATTTTTATCTAATTTTTTTATCTACTTATGATAATCCTAGAATTTTTATAAACACTCTTGTTGCATAACAAAACAGTTGCTATCTCATGCCATTTTATTCAAAGTCATGTGTTTCTGTTCACTGCTGGTTAGAATTGTTTAATCATTGACGAATATTTGTGGCACACTCACTCTGTACCATGTACTCCTTTGTCAGGTGCTGGGTATACACTGATGAATGAAACAGACGCTAGCTTCACGGAACTTGCGTCTAGTGAGCTTAGAAGTAAATTTTGTGAGTGCGAGGATGGGGAGTCGAACTGAGGGCTCTTAGTTTTGCTAGCATTTAACATGTTGCTCTTACCAATTTTAAGAAATAAATGTGTAGAAAGGTAACGTATTCCAAAAGAATCTGTTTTTTTGTTTTTTGTTTTTTTGTTTTTTGTTTGTTTGTTTTTTGAGACGGAGTCTCACTCTGTTGCCCAGGCTGGAGTGCTGGAGTGCAGTGGTGCGATCTCGGCTCACTGCAAGCTCTGTCTCCCTGGTTCACGCCATTCTCCTGCCGCAGCCTCCCAAGAAGCTGGGACTACAGGCGCCACCACCACGCCCGGCTAATTTTTTTGTATTTTGAGTAGAGACAGGGTTTCACCGTGTTCACCAGGATGGTCTCAATCTCCTGACTTCGTGATCCGCCCACTTCGGCCTCCCAAAGTGCTGGGATTACAGGCATGAGCCACCGCACCCAGCCAAGAATCTGTTTTTCTTAGTGAAAAGTATCCACATAGACATTCATAGCAAAAAAAAATTATAAGATGCATCAGAGATAAATAAAATAAAGCGTAGTTTTCCCAGATCTGGATTTAGTTTCTGATTTGATTTATTTTAACGACAGACATAAGAGATCACTTTATAATGAAGTAAAATTTCACATTACAGAAACAGAATAAAAATAGCTTCTTGAAGAAAATGCCAAATCTACTTTTAATCTCAAGGAAATAGGGTTGATCAAAGAGATCTGTTAGCATGTTACATATTAATAGACAACCTGCTGTGTAAAATTACTTAAAAGCCATCTTTTGCAAAAATGTTCTCCCGTTCTGTAGGTTGCCAGTTCACTCTGATTATAGTTTCTTTCGCTGTGCAGAAGCTCTTTAGTTTAATTAGATCCCATTTGTTAATTTTGGCTTTTGTTGGCATTGTTTTGGTGTTTTAGTCATGAAGTCTTTGACCATGCCCGTGTCCTGAATGGTATTGAGTTCATGTCCTTTGCAGGGACATGGATGAAGCTGGAAACCATCATTCTTAGTAAACTAACACAGGAACAGAAAACCAAACACCGCATGTTCTCACTCTTAAGTGGGAGTTGAACAATGAGAACACATGGACACAGGGAGGAGAATATTACATACCGGGGCCTGACAGGGGGTTGGGGGCTAGGGGAGGGATAACATTTGGAGAAATACCTAATGTAGATGATGGGTTGATAGGTGCTGCAAACCACCATAGAACGTGTATACCTATGTAACAAACCTGTATGTTCTGCACATGTATCCCAGAACTTAAAGTATAATAAAAAATAAAATTTTTAAAAAGCCATATTTTAAAAGGTTTTTAAAATTCACAACATACTCCATTTTTGATATAACTTCTAATATTTCTTCTCTGTGGTAGAAATTTGTTTCTGAGAAATAAGAGGCCAAGGATATTAGAAGAGCAAAAAAAGTTTACATAAATGTGTTAACATTTTAAAGGCAACTATATATGAAGAAAATTAAAACATTGTTAAAAATTATTGGAATAAATAATAAAATTATCAAGGTTATAATTAATAAGATCAAATATATTGCTTATGTAATTTTAAAAGTAGCGTAGAATGTTTATTATTCTAGTCTCGCTAAAAATGATAAACTTCAAACATATCTATAGGAGAATAATTACAAAACTCAGCAATTAACCCAGGAGATAATTTGAAGAAATGTTGAAATAGTTTCTTACATAAAGACACTAGGTATTTCTTTCATAAAGGACACTAGGTAAAAGTTCCAGCAACGGGTAGAGAGGTGATCTAGGTACATTTTATTATTGACTATTGAAACAGGTTTGAGAAAGTGCACAGTTGGGTATCAGCAGAGGAGACTGATCTAGGTACAATTTATTATTGGCTATTGATACAGGTTTTCTCCTGAGAAAGTGCACAGTTGGGTGTCAGCAAAGGAGACAGCACAGGCTCCTCAGATGTCAAGGCAGGGATGTGTCACTCATCATCATAAAAGAGTGGCTGTGCCTTCCTGTGTCAGGCTCTGTGCCAGCAGCTGCGTGCCCCGTCTTCCCTTCCAGGGTCCTGCCTGAAGTCTGTGCTCACTCAGCCAGC